TAAGTCACTTAACCATTTGGGGCTTGTGGGCTAAATGATCCTTTCTAGCTTTCAATGTTATAATCCCTTCAAGATTGGAAGTGAAAGAGGGACAAGTTGTGTGAATAATGCATCAATATTATAATAATAAGATTCCACAGTATCAAAATCCATTTATCTTCAGGGCCTCTCACAAGCACCCATAGCCTCATCTCTATGGCGGAAAGTGAGACCATGCCTTTGAATGAGAAAAGTAAATGAAGGCCTGATACCTTTGAGTGCATTTTCTAGCAGGAGGAACTTAGGTTAGACATGAAGAGAAACTTTTTGGCTGGGGAGTTGGTTAGACCCTGGATTGAGAGGCTGAGGGAAGTAGCAAACTCTTTTCCCACTTGGCACTCCAGCAGGCCACCAGCTCAGTACAATCAGGTTGGGCAGTGATGCCCCAAGGGATTGAAATAATTGTGAGTAACTTGCTAGGTTTTAAGCACTTTCAGTAGAGGGACCATATTGGATGAGGCAGGGAGAAGGAAGCAGTTCTTCCAGCAACTGGAGGGTGGTGTGGCTTAGTAGATAGAACATTGAACCTGAAATCACAAAGGCCTGAGTTCAAATCCAGCCTAACACAGTAGCTGTGGGACTCTCCTGAAAGTCACTTAACTTCTGTCTGCCTCAGTTTCCTTGCCTATACAATGGAGATCACAATAGCACCTACCCCTGAGGGTTGTTGTGAGGATAAAATGAGATATCTGTAAAGCTCTTTGCAAACCTTAAAGTGCTATATAAATGCTATTCTATTAAATCACTGTGGAGAGTCTGCATTTATATGCTTTTCCAAATCATAACAATTAGAACCATTCAAAAGTGGATTGCTTCAGGAGGTGGTAAGTTCTCTATCACTAGAGGTCTTTGAGCAAACGTTGGACGGATACTTGTTGGGGATATAGTGGAAAATATTCCTATTCAGGTACAGCTTGTACTAGACCTCTGAGGTCCTTTCCAAATATGGTTCTATATAGTACAGTATAGGGATACGAAACAATAACTTGAAGATGAGGTTAAGTGTCTGGAGATCAGTGTGGGTAATTTAGAGCCAACTGTGCACCTCAATTCCAACTACCCAGATCACAGTTTACCAAGGGGATAAGCATCATCTTCGGTAACTGGGGTTCCTGTGGAACCGTCTGACAAATAAGTCACCCAAAAATCAATAGTGGCCATGGGTGCTCAATGATAGTGGAGATGAGCAGCTTCATTTAAGGCTAACTCAGTTCACCAGTTGCCTGATCTATTGCCTTTTAGCTATTTCCCTGTTCATTAAAAACTTTCCCAGAGCAGAAAGGGAGTAGAAGGGGACACTGATTTACACCAGCCCAGACTTACTTCTTGTTTACCAGCTATGGTAGGAAGTGGAACGGGAGGGGAGCAGGATGAGATGAATGTGCACAAGGTTTGGAATAGTTTCACTCCTGCCTATTCTTCCAATCCCCAACTTGTCTGCATAATCAGGAACTAGACAAAGGAGTGCCTTCACCTCCTTTCCTCTTACTCTCAGCAGATTGGCCCCTAACCTCATCTTTCAACTGAATCTGCTCTTTCCACAGTTACCAATGATCTCTTAGTTGCCAAATCCAGTGTCCTCCTCTCAATCTTCATCCTTCTTGTCCCAACTACAGCCTTTGACACTTAATCACTCTCATCTCCTTGATACTCTCTTTTCTCTAGGTTGTCATTACACTGTTCTCTCCTGGTTCTCCTTCTAATTGTATGACCACTCCTTCCTCTTCTTTGCTAGATCTTCATCCAGGTAAGAACCAACAACCTTGGGTGTCCCCCAAGGCTCTGTCCTGGGTTTGTCTTCTCTTCTTCCTCTATACTATTCGCTTGGTGATTTCATCTGTTCTCATGGATTCAATTATTATCTCTATGTACATAATTCTCAGATCTATTTACCCAGCTCTAATCTTACTCCTGACCTACAGTCTCACATCTCTTACTGCCTATTGGACATCACAAACTGAATGCCCTATAAACATCTTTCTTTAAGGCAATCAGGGTTAAGTGACTTGTCCAGGGTCATGGCTCAGCTAGTAACTGTCTGAGGCCAGATGTGAACTCAGGTCCTCCTGACTCCAGGGCCAGTGCTCTATCCATTGCATCACCCAGCTACCCCCAACATCTTAAACTCAGTAGGCCAAAACTAAACACATTATCTTTTCCCCAAAACCTATTTTCTTCTGAACTTCCCTATCATTGTAAAGAGCATGACCATTTATCTAGGAACCTAGACTTACAACCTAGATGTCATTTTTTTTAAGGCAATTGGGGTTAAGTGACTTGCCCAGGGTCACACAGCTAGTAAATGTCAAGTGTGTGATCTGAGGCTAGATTTGAATTCAGGTCCTCCTGACTTCAGGGCTGGTGCTTTATCCACTGCACTACCTAGCTGCCCCTAGATGTCATCTTAGAGTTCTCACTGTGTCTTATTGCCAATTTCCATCATTTGCCAAAGTCCTGTTGTTCTCACATTCACAGTATCTCTAGTATATCCCCCCCTTCTCTCCTCTGATACTGCCAACACCATGCTGCAGGCACTCACACCTCACATCTGGACTAGGGGAATAGAATGCCCATGGGCCTGCCCAAGTGTCTCCCCTATGCCAGTGTCCTCCATTCAGCTGCCAAGCTAATCTTCTAAAGCACAGGGCTGACATTGCTTTAGGCATTTAACGCCCTTCACAACCTGGTCCCTTCCAGTTTTCTTACTGCCTTCTGTGTACTGTATGAGCCAGTGACACGGATATCCTTGTTCCTTGTACATGACACTGCATTTTCTGGCTGCATTTTCACTGGCTGTCTCCTGGGTTCTCCCTTCTCACCTCTGCCTCCTGGCTTCCTTAAAATCTCAGCTAAAATCCCACCATCTGCAAAATGCCTTTCCCAGTCGGCAGACCATTGCTGGTATTCCCCCAGTTTACCCTGTAATCTCTTATTTATATAAAATTGGTTACATGTCTCTCCCACTGGACTGTGAGCTCCTTGACCGTAGGCACTGTGTTTTTGCCTTTTTTTGTATCCCCAGTGCTTCTTAGCGCAGTGCCCGGCACATAGCAGGTACTTGTTGACTTGCTGAGGAAGGTTTCAATCCTAGTACCTCTCTCTAGGCTCACCCCTGAATAGGCTGATAATATTGGGGAACTTGTCATGAAAACTCATTTATTCAGATCTCAGTGATCTGAAATTTTTATTAATTCTCGCTTAATAACATGAGTAAGGGGCAATTTCCTCCTATTTAAATTTTCAGTTACTATCTTTACAAGCATGTGGAGGAGGAAGAAATCTAAAAATGAACCTTTCCATACCAAGATCTTAAAAAATTAAGAATACTTTCAACTCTTGGGCCCACACTGAATTCCTACATATTAAAAGACTTGTGTTTATGATCCATGTTTACATATTGTGGGCCTACTGTGAATTGTAACTTATCTCATTACTCATTGTTACTCATTTCCAAATTGGTGGTTTGACTGTTCAGTAGAGAGCCAACTTACAATGCCGATGTCAGAAAATAAGGATGACACCCACTTGATAAATTTTCTATATTCTTTTGAGAGGGACGCAGTCTCACCCCTGTGTACATGGGGGATGCTGAAGAATCGATCCGAGTAATGCATTTATGTTGGGCACATTTGTGGTTCCTTTGCACAGCCTGGCGGGGCTTTGTAATGGGGTTTCATAGTGTGTGAAAAGCTACTGGGAAATGGCGGCCATGTGCCCTTTGGTTTTTCTGATGATCTCAGCCGGGCATCATTTGTTGTACTTTTTCTGCTCAGGTTTCCCATTAACAGGGTATTGGGGAGAAGAGAAGTCCATGAATGCATGTGGCGGTAACTGGGGTTTGGGACCTTGTGGCTGTGTGACCCACAACAGCATGGCTCTGTGGAAAGGGGGCCGCCAATCTGTACGTAAGGATGCCTGGGGGCCACATACTGACTTAGTGTTAAAATGTAATGTTACATGTGTTGCATTGTATTTTTATTTATTTTTATTAAATGTTTCCCAATTATGTGTTAACCCAGTTCTGGCCATGCTCTGGAGTGTCGTAGGCCCTGTGTTTGATACCTCTCCACTAGATGACCTCTGATATCTCTTCTAACTCTAGATCATAATCCCATATATTTGTGTATAATGCCCCAATACATGTTTGTATATCTCTCTGGAAGCACATTTCTATTTCAGTGTAGAGGAGATTGTGTGTGTGGGTGGGTGGGGGTGGTTGTCTGCATGTACATTTTAAGGAGTACATTATATCAGAGTATATGTGGGTGCAAGTGAGGAAGTCTCCCACACTTCCTCTGCCTAAACACCCAAAATGAAGTGGAAAGAGCATTAAATGATTCTTTGTGTCTGTATAAACAAATTGGGTAATTTGGTCACCCCTCTTCCTACTGCCTTCCTTCCCCCCACACACATTTTCCTTGGATAACAAGGAGGTGTTGGCCTTGGCTACTCAAGAAACCGTTTCCATCCTCCACTTTAGAGTTGCCTTACCTTACTCAGGTAGATGAGGATAAGTGTGCCCGGCCAAGAGCCCTTTCCCTCCTCCCATGGGTGAAGCCCTCCTGGGTTATATAATGGAGGCTGATGACTCTGCAGTGGGGATGTATGTTGATTTCTTGCACAGGTGTGAAGCTCTGGGTGGGGATGTGTATTTAGCCGGCTCCCTCCCCTCCCGTTCTGTGTATCTTTCTCCTCCTGGCTGCTCATTTATTCAGCTCATCTGCATGTCTGCCAGCAGTGTATTGAGTGGAAAAAGGACAAATCACCTTCTCCCTTAGTCTCTAAGCTGGGCGGGTGATTTCCAGTGTCTTCTAATGGGCTGTCTTTGCTTCCCTCCCCTGATCAACAGTGACACTGTGTGTGAGTGTGTGTGAGTGAGTGTGTGTGTGTGTGTGTGTGTGTGTGTGTGTGTGTGTGTGTGTGTGTGCAGGCGTTTGGGGGGAGGGATGGTGGGAGTGGAGAATGTCTTGAACTGCAGAGGGAAGGTTAGAAAGAGCACAGGCTCCAGTGATTTTTAACTCCTTCCTCCTCAGGAAGGGTGTAGGTGGAGCAGCAAGCTGAAAGAACCTCTGTGAATCCCACCCCACCCCCACCTGCCCCTTAAGCTGCTCCCCCAAATAACAGCCAAGCGGATCTGATCTAACCTGATGGGGGGGGGGAGCCCAATGTGATGTGTGATCATGCTGTGGTAGCGTTCTCAGCTTCTTTCCCCGTTAATTAAAGTTGGAGAAAGGGAAAGGGAGTCTGCTCGGGAGAGGAGGCTCACTGAACCAGCTGCCCTTGATTCTACTCCATTGTCCTCCTAGGGCCAGGTGTGGATGCCTCGGGATTAATGGAGCCATAAGGAAAGGTAAAGAATCGGCCGGGGTGTGTGTGGTGTGTGTGTGTGTGTGTGTGTGTGTGTGTGTGTGTGTGTGTGTGTGTGTGTGTGTGTGTGTGTGTGTGTGTGTGTGTGTGTGTGTGTGTGTGTGTGTGTGTCTGCATGGGGGCTCATGGGGGTGGGCAGCAGCCGAGGCCAGTGATGGATGCTGCAAGCGACGGAGGGATATTGATTGTAGACTAGTCAGCATATCTCTTGCCTCTGATCTCTTGTTCCCTACCCTTGGAGCAGCTGCCCCTGCTGCTTCTCAGGAGGTGGCAGGGTAACTACCCCATAGAGGTGAGGGGATGGATGCCCGGACAGTGCCACCAGTGACTGCCATGGAGGTGCCCAGCGTCAAAGATTTCCACTGGAAGACCCTGGCCCCACTGCCCAGTCGTCGGGTCTACTCGTCCCTGGTGGAGGCGGGAGGACAGGTCTATGCCATAGGAGGCTGTGATGACAACGGGGTCCCCCTGGACTGCTTTGAGGTCTACTCCCCTGAGGCTGACCAGTGGACTTCCTTGCCCCCCATGCCCACGGCCCGGGCTGGGGTAGCTGTCATTGCCTTGGGGAAACGGATCATGGTGATTGGGGGTGTGGGAACCAATCAGCTACCCCTGAAGATTGTGGAGATGTACAACATCGATGAGGGCAAGTGGAAGAAGAGGAGTGTGCTGAGGGAGGCTGCCATGGGCATCTCTGTCACTACAAAAGGCAAGCCAGACCAGGCTTTGGACGTCATGGGGCACAGAGGGGCTGGGAAGAGGGCAGGAAATCAGTGGGGTAGACTTGTTGGAGGGCTGGAAAGGGAAGAGGGTTTTGAGTTGGGTTTAGGACAATGGCTTCCCAGGTTATTCTTCTTGCAACTTTTTTGAAAGCTCCCATAACCCTCCAGGGCCCCTTATTCTCCTCCTACCAAGACAAAAAGGGTACAAAAGCCTGAACTCCACCTCACAGGTGTCCCAGCCACCAAATAGCTGCTTGACACTCAGTAGTTTTGGTCTGACCAGCTCAGCATAACAGCACATCACAAAAGCTGAAAAGGAGAGAGCCCAGATGCCTGGAGAGAACAAATCACCCCATACCTCACTGCCCAAACCAGTCACCCCATAACTCACTCTAAACAACTGTTTGGAGCTCTCTAGTTATTTCTCCTACCACTCCTTCCCATCTCCAAACTACCCTGTGACCCCAAAGGGAATGCCACCCTTCTGTTAGAGAAATACTGATAGAAATTGAGAATTGAATATCTGTAACAGTACCCTTCTACTACAGGCTTCCACCCATCCTTAACATTTTCCCTTTGTGGATGGTCCACCAAGCAATCCTCAAGCATTTACTTATCACCTACTGAATGCCAGGCATTGCGCTAAGCTTTGGGGATACAAAGAAAGGCAAAAAACAGTCCTGCCCTCAAGGAGCTCATATTCTAATGAGGAAAAAAAAACCTTGTAAATAATGTAGTACATACCAGATGCAGACAGAGTAAACGGAAGGGAATACTAAAAGAGAAGACTCTAGTGGCTGGAGGGAACACAAAAGTTCTTCAACAGAAGGTGGGATTTTAGTTGGGTCTTGAAAGAAGAGGCAGAGGCGAGGAGGGAGAGTGTTCCAGGCATAGGGAACAGCATAGTGCAAAAGCATAGAGACAGCAGTTGGGGAACAGGCAGAAAGTGGAAGAGAACAAATATTTATTAAGCACCTACTATGTGCCAGGCACTGTTCCCAGAAAATATCTTTACGTATATTCTCTCCTCTGGACTGTTGTGTGTGAGGCGGCATTCTGTCTTCCTTTTCTTATAACCTCCATATGTCCTGGGCCCTCTTGAGTATAGAAATTAATCTGAGAAAAGGAGACATTCTCCTATTTGGTCCCCACAAGGAGAGTTTTATGGCTTTCCTTTTGGCTATCCTTGGTTGGGGAGGGGGGAGAAGTCAGAGTACAGAAAGCATAAGGTCACCCTAGGCTAGGTGCCCTGGGAGCTTGACAGAACTGGCTTAGGTGGTGGTTGAGGCTGGCAGGGGACATTAATCATGCCACCAGAGTTGCATGGACCTGAGTCCTGTACCAAGGGTGCAGGGCATTGAGCAGGAAGGGACCCTTCAAGCTCCTGGCCTCTGAGGCCACGTCCCAGTTGTGGTGCCCAGCGGGTTAAACGGGGCTCCAGGCATGACTGGTAGTGGATATTGACAAGTCCCCTGTCAGGTTGCCCACTGACTCTGGGTGTGGTCTATCTCTTTAGATTACAGAGTTTACGCAGCAGGAGGAATGGGACTGGATCTCCACCCCCACAACCACCTACAGCACTATGACATGCTCAAGGACATGTGGGTATCATTAGCCCCCATGCCCACCGCCAGATACGCTGCCACTTCCTTTCTCCGAGGTTCCAAGATCTATGTGTTAGGTAAGGCTGAGTGACATGCACCCTCAATGTACTCCCGTTTTCCCTCCTGGGGGTCAGTTTATCATGTCTCCCCTATGGGGAGTGTACAGAGCCATCTTCCAGGCATTGTGAAGTAGGGCAGAGGTCTAGAAGAAGGACTCACTGTCCTCATGGAGCTCGTTGCCATATAATTAATAAATATTAGAGCCAGAAAGGGACCTCAGAGATCATCTCATCAATATTTTTTTCTTGCAGAAGAGGAAACTGGTACGCAGAAAAGTAAAATGATTTACCAAAGGTCATAGCTTTGTGAGGCATGAACAAACAAACAAACAAATGACAAACCCTTGTCCCTATCTTTGGGGAGGTATTATTTGGGGGGAGAGAAAGACAAGGCATATGTACAATAACTGATAACTTACAAAGCAACCTGCAAGTAAGTACAAAGAAAGGTCAGCATAGAAAGTGCCTTGGATAGGGAATTAAAAGACCAGGATCTGAATCCTAACTTTCCCACTTACGCAGCCTGTGTGACCTATCTGGGCCCCAGTTTCCTCATCTGTAAAATGTTGGCATTGGACCATCTGACCTGCACTATTTCTATGATCCTAAAATTGACTGAGTATATAAGCTCTAAAAGGGCATGGGGCAGAGGAGCAGTCAGAACTGGGTATGGGTCAATCACGTTAGGTTCCCTGGAGGAGGAGGCTACCATACTTAAGGGAGAAGGAGGGATATTGGTTGCCAGAAATGAAAAGAGCATCTCAGGTAAGAAGGGAGAAAGCACAAAGAAAGAATCATCAAAAAGTTATAATAAGCTTGGAACACTGATACAATACCCTGCGCTAAGCTGGGTGGGAAACATTCTCTAGAAAGGGTGATTGCTGGACACCTTTCCCAGATGGAATCTCCTTCCCTGGGGTGGTAAGCACTGGAAAGACTCTGCTTTGGTCTGGAGCTTTAGGTTTTGCTCTGAGAGGGAATGAAGGGAGAGTGGGATGGATAGGCAGAAAGAAGTCCTTCAGAGGGCCTTTGATCTTGGCTTTTAGGGGGACGACAATCCAAGTATGCAGTCAATGCCTTTGAGGTCTTCGACATTGAAACACGCTCATGGACCAAGTTTCCCAGCATCCCTTGCAAACGAGCCTTCTCCAGTTTTGTCCCCATGGATGGCTATCTGTATAGCCTGGGAGGCCTGCGGCAAGGCCGCCTCTATCGACAACCCAAGTTCATGAGGACTATGGATGTGTTTGACATGGAGCAGGGTGAGTCTTTCAAACCCTACCCCCCACTGATGGAGTCCCCTCATCTTCCCATCACCAATCCAGCAAACATTTATTAAGCACCTACTAGGTACCATGAGCTGTGCTAAGTGCTGGGGATACAATTAATGAAAAGGAAGGTAGTTCCTGCTTTCAAGGAAATTACAATCTAAAGGAAGAGACTATGCACAAAAGGAGGCAGGAAAGGGGTAGGGAATCCCCATAGCTTCTCATTCCCAGAACACTGAAAGTTCTGAATGGCTGTCTTTTTGCACCCTAGCACCTCCTATCTGACTTTTTGCCTATACAGACCTCACGAGCTTTTCAAAAGTTTGCCCCCACCCTTCATCTCTTGATCAAATTCCCTCCACCTCCTGTCCCTCCCCTCTCCAATCCCTCCTCCAAACAGCTACAAAAGTCATCTTCCCCAGGCACAGGTCTGACCATGTTACTCTCCTGCTCTCAAGCTTTCACTGACTCCCTATTGCCCATAGGATAACATACAGAGCCCTGAGCCCAGTATTTCAAGTCTTTCACAACCTGGCTCCAATCACCTTCTCCAGACATGTTTTCTGATCTTATTCTGCCCTGTGAACATCTTTGTGCATTCATGCAAGCCCGGGACACACTCCCTTCTCACCTCTGCCTGTGGAAATCCTTCTCTTTCTTCAAGATGCAGCATCCATGAAGCTTTCCCTGATTCCCCAGCTGAAAGCATTCTCTCCTTTCCTAGATTTCCTGGAGCATTTGTCCAGATGACTCTTTTGCTCCTGGTTATTATTTTTTATTCATAATTATATTTACTTATTGTATTTATTCAAGCATGCATGCACCCTTCTCCTGTCATCTTTCCTCTAGATATTCCCAGAAGATACCACAAGATTCCCAGAAGATGCTTGGCACATAGCAGGCACTTAATAAATGTCTATAGGGCAGCTAGGTGGCACAGTGGATAGAGCACCGGCCCTGAAGTCAGGAGGATCTGAGTTCAAATCCAGCCTCAGACCAAACACTAGCTTTATGACCTTGGGCAAATCACTTAACCCTAATTGCCAAAATAAATAAATAAATAGACAGATTAAATAAATAAATGAATGAATGAATGTCTGTCAAATGAATGAAAGGAAGAAATGCTACTCTTGGCTGAAGAGGGAGCTTCCTACCATTTAGAGCCAGTACCAGGGCACAAAACACAAGAAGATCCCAGCAAGGTCACTTGTTAATAGGAGTTGGTATAAATGTACATATTTTAACAGCAGAAAATTCCTATCTTTAGATCATGTAGCTTTTTTTTTCCCCTAGTGATAACTCAAGTTACCACAAGGGAAGCAGCCAGATGTGATGGAAAATGCTGAATTTGGTATTAGACTATCTGGGATCAAATCCTAGCTTCGTTGTTTGCTTGTGGTGTGACCTGGGTCAACTAACCTTAGCTGGGCCTCAGTTTCCTCATCTAGAAAAACAAGGGATTGAAGTAGATGAGGACCTCCCTTTGAGAGGGAGCTAGGTGTTGCAGTGGATAGATAGAGTGCAGGGCTTGAGTGAGTTCAGACTAGGCCTCACACATGTGCAGTCTGGGTGACCCTGGCCAAGTCACTTCACCCTGTTGGCCTCGGTTTCCTCATTGTAAAATGGGCTGGAAGAGGACATGGCAAACTACTTCAGCATCTCTCCCCAAGCAGGGTCATGAAGATTGTAAAATGGGCTGGAAGAGGACATGCCAAACTACTTCAGCATCTCTCCCCAAGCAGGGTCATGAAGAGTCAGACACAACTGAAAATGGTTGAACAACAATAACAAAGTTCCTTAGAGCTCTAACGTTACGATCTGACGATACTAAATCGAATGTGAACTTGCCAGAATCCATTGCCTGTCATGCCAAGGACCCCATTCAACTCCATGAGCCTCAGGGCTGAGTCCTGACCTAGCCGGCCAGGAGCTGGAAGGGTCTTCCTGCTCAGTGCTCTGCACTCTTGGTCCAGGACTGAGACGTGTGCTGCTCTGTTAGATGGCATTACTAATGCTAACCCAGCCTCCTCAAGCTGGCTCAGAGCAATGGCGCAGAACCAGCAGTAGACGGCATTTGCCCAACAAACCACAATGTTCTAGTTGGGGACAGGGGGATCAGTTTCTCAACTTTGCCCAGAGGGCACAGAGAGGTAGCACAGTGCGGTGAGTACAGTACCAGACTAGGAGTCAAAAGATCCAAGTTCGAATCTTGCCTCAGACATTAATTTCTGTTGTTATTCAATCATTTTTCAGTCATGTCCAATTCTTCCTCACCCCACTTAGGGTTTTCTTGGCAGAGATATTGGAGTGGTTTGCCATTTCCTTCTCTAGCTCATTTTATAGATGAGGAAACTGAGGCAAACAGAGTGAAGTGACCTGCCCAGGGTCACACAGCTGGTAAGTGTCTGAGGCCAGATTTGAACTCAGGAAGATGAATCTTCCTGTCTCCAGGCCCTGTGCTCTATCCTCTGCACCACCTAGCGGTCAGATACTAACTAGCCGTGTTATTTTAAGCAAGTTACTTAACCTAGTTGCCTAAGCCTTAATTATCTTAACTGCCAATCAAATAGAAGCTCCATGGGGGCAAAGACTGTTTATTGTTGTCTCTGTTTCCCCAGTGCCTAGCACAGTGCCCCGACTTAACAATTGCCTATTGATTGTCTGATTGACTGAACTATAAATAAAATAATTATAATTGCATTAACTTGCTTCACAAGTCTGTTGTGAAGAAATATACATGTATATACATATATAAGGTGTTATTATAATTATGTCTTGTTCAGGGCTATTCATATTCATCCCTAGATATAAATACCTGTTTATCTAGAAAACAGTTTTTTCCCAAAGATTATTTCCATCTGTTTTCTCATTGCATCCTAACAATAATCCTGCACCTGCATGAGGTAGGTAGGGACAGAGTTCTATATTCCTGTTATACAGATGGATAAACTGAGATAGAGCCATGATTAGATCAAGAACACACAGCAAACTAGAGACAAAGCTGGAGGTAAAATCCAAATTCTCTACTGGTCTAGGACACTTTAAGGGGCAGCTAGGTGATGCATTAGATAGAACACTGGGCCTGCAATCAGGAAGATTGGAGTTCAAATTTAGCCTCAGACATATACTAGCTGTATGACCTTGGGTGAGTCACTTAATTCCGTTTGCCTCACTTCCTCATCTGTAAAATGGGGATACACTGGAGAAAGAAATGGCAAACCACTCCAGTATCTTTGCCAAGAACACTTCACGGGCGATGTTCATGGGGTCAGGTAGAGTTGGACACGACTGAATGACCAAACGACAACAGTGCCCTTTAGATAGAAATCTGAACTAACAGGATCATGGGATTTAGAATGGGGAAGGATCTGATTCACCTGTAGTCCAAACTCCTCATTTTACAGATGGGGAAACTGAGGTCCAAGGAGAAGCAATCTTCTAGCTCAGAGACAATAGGACAAAGCTCTTTGTGGAGAAAGGAAATATAATAATATAGAACAGAACTGTAGAATATTAGAACTAGAAGGGACATTAGAGATTATTTAGTCTAATTTCTATGTTTTACAGCCAAGGAAACTGAGTCTCAGAGAAGTCAAGTTCCTTCCCCGTGGGCATGCAGCTAGTGAGTGGGATGAGCCATGGAGAATCTCAGCAACACCTCCCTTAGACATGTAAGGGTGAGGTCAAAGCCCCTTGTGGGGTGTCATGCGGACCTGAGCAGAATGAGTTCAAACTCACTTCCAACTTACTGCAATGGAGGTTGAACAAGGGGGCAGGGAAAAGGTAGGAGGTAGTAGTGTGGGGCAGCAGATAGCATGCTTCACTTGGAGTCAAGAAAACCCAGGTTTACCTAATGCCTCTGAAGCCTGAGGAAATCACTTCATCTCTGTGGCCCTCGCTGTCCTCATTTGTAAAATGAGAAACTTAAATGTGTCTGTGAGAAACCAAGTGTGGTCTATGGACCCCTAGGGGTCCCCATGACTCTTTCAGAAAGTCCACAGGGTCAAAATGATTTTCATAAGATACCAAGACATTATTTGACTATTAAAATCCTCCTGTCTTCTACATATCTGTGTGAAGAGGGATTTTCTTCATATACTTCAACCAAAACAACAGATCACAGTAGAGCAAATGCAGAAGCCAATAGGAGAATCCAACTGTTTTCTATTAAGTCAAGCATTAAAGAGATTTGCAAAAAATGTATAAAAATAATGCCACTGGGGCAGTGAGGTGAGGCAGTGGATAGAGCAGGGCCCTGAAGTCAGGAGGACCTGAGTTCAAATACGGCCAGCCTCAGACCAAACATTTAACACTTATTAGCTGTGTGACCCTGGGCAAGTCATTTAATCCCAATTGCCTAATAATAATAATGATGATAATAATAATAATAATGCCATTCTCTACACTAAATTTTATTTTTGTTTTGGAAAATGTATTTATTTTTCATAAACATATGTTTTTATTTTAACATGTAATGGGTCTGTTATAGTTATTTTTAATGAATAAATATTTTAAAATTTTATTAACTCTAATTTCCAATATGTTAAATATCAATAGATATAACCCACACAAACAGAAGCTCTTTGGGGTCCAATTGTTTTTTAAGACAATAAAGGGGTCCTGAGACCAAAAAGGTTTGAAAATGGCTGGCCTAGATGATCTCTATGGCCCCTTCTGGCCCTAAATCTATAATCTTCTGATCCTATGAATTCTATTGACCTGCAAGGGATATATTTTGTTGTGAGGTCGTTTCAGTCACGTCTGACTCTTTATGACCGCTTGTGGGGTTTTCTTGGCAAAAAGACTGGAGTCGTTTGCTATTTTCTTTTCCAGGTCATTTTACAGATGAGAAAACTGAGGCAAACAGAGTTAAGTGACTTGTCCAGGGTCACACAGCTAGTAAGCATCTGAGGCCGGATTTGAACTCAGGAAGATGAATGGCCACCTAGCTGCCCCAGGGAGACATTTAATACTGATGTATGCCAGGTGTGAATGGACATACAAATGCTTGCTCCCATGCCAGAGATCAGATCCTTTCCCAGAGGCTGCATTAAGTGGTTGTGACCAACATCTTTTCTCCTCCTTTCTTGGCCTCTAGGAGGTTGGGTGAAGATAGAGCGGTCTTCGTTCCTGAAGAAGCGCAGAGCTGACTTTGTATCAGGCTGCTTAAGAGGGCGAGTCATAGTGGCTGGAGGCCTGGGTAAGAGTCAGAGCACTCTGGCAGTGCTGGGGGGTTTGGGGGACACCAGAGGATCCATGGCAGAGATTGATAACCCCTGAAGTCAGCACTGTCCCTCTCCCCAAAGATCACCAAGCACCCCCTGTAGCAGAAAGAATGCTGCATTTGGAGGCCAAGGATGGTTCTGCTTCAGACCCAGCTCTGCTACTCAGCAATAAATCAACATGCATTTAAATGGCTGATGCAAGCCAGGGACTGTGCCGAGTACTAGGAATACAAATGCGGAAAATGGAACAAACATTTCCCCTTCTGGGACACTGGACAAGTTACATCCTCTCTCTGGGGCTCAGTTTCCCCATCTTTAAGATGAGAGGACTGGACCAGCCCTTCTGGCTCTAAATCCCAGGACTAACATTCTAGTTAGAACCTCATCCATCAGCAGCAGTGACAGGGAATCCCTGGGGACCAGAAGGCTCAGGCTGTCCCTTTTTTAGAGGAGGAAATGGAGGCATAGGGTGAGTAAGAGGCAGGTGTGCTAGATCTGACTCCTGATGGTCTGGGCCAGGTGGATTGTTAAATTTTCAGTGTGAGTATTTAGACATTGGAAATTAACAAATGCTACAAAGCAGGGTGAAGTGACTCGCCCAAGGTCACACAGCTATTAAGTGCCTGAGGCCAGATTTGAACTCAGGAAGATGAGTCAGAAAGGCCCGGCACTCTATGCACTATGACGCCACCTAGCTGTCCTGCCTGGCACATAGTAGGTACTTAATAAATGTTCCCTTCACCACTATACCATACAACAACTACTCACTTGCTTGACATGGGTGAATGTCCATTATTATTTATAACTTACATTTATTTAGTGCTTTAAGGTTCATAAAACAGCCATTGGGGATGGGCAGCATGAGCATTATTATCCCCATTTTACGGAAGGAAATTGATACTAACTTGCCTGAGGTTATGACAGCTAGTTGGTAGTGGCCAAGGTAAAACTTGAACCCAGGCCTCTGGGTATTAGGTTTAGCCACTGCAGCATGCCATCATGCTGGGCACAAACACCCTCTGTAGCCAAGGATGATGAAGTCAGTCAGCCCATTGGGGAACAGGTTATGAAACTAAGCTGTGGTCTGTTCTAAAAGGCTTAGCACCCATGCCTTTTATCGGCATTTTCAGGGGACCAGCCCACAGTCCTGGAGACAGCAGAGGCCTTCCACCCAGGGAAGAACAAATGGGAGAGCCTGCCCCCCATGCCCACTCCCCGCTGTGCCTGTTCCAGCATCATCATCAAAGGCTGCCTCCTCGCAGTGGGAGGCGTCAATCAGGGACTAAGTGATGCTGTGGAAGCCCTGTGTGTCTCAGACTCCTAGCCTCATCCTGGCGCCTCCCTCGAGAACCCCAGTCCTCGGAGATTCGTCGTTTCTTGGCAGGGTTAAAGGATTTCATCAAAGCCGACCGAAAACTCCTCCAGTATGTGAAAAGTGGGCAAGATCTCCAGGGGCTCACTCTTCTGAAATCCATCCACCCCCACCCAGCCCTATCTCCCAAGAATATGAAGATATGCCCCCTGAAAAGTCACTGGACATATGTCCAACCGGTCTCAAGCAGGGAAAGTCCCACCCTCACCCTCGGCTATTGAAAGGTAGATGGATGCCCCCCTCCCCATGCCAGCCTATACCTTTCCTATCATCTGCCCTTACAGCTGGAGACAGAGTTCCATGTCTTCTCACCGCCTGATGTAATAGGTCATTGGAGGTCAATGACTGCTGGTGAGTAGTGAATGTGGCCCCTCAGTAATTTGGGGGACTGCCCTAACTCAGTGATAGACTAGGACCAGACTTTGTCTGAAAAGTGGGGAAAGGGAGAAAGCTACAGCCTCACGCCCAGGCAGGGGTGGGGGTGGTCATGCCAGACAATGAAGGCAAGTATGGAGGAGACAGAAGAGACCGAGAATAGAGGAGACGGAGAAGGAATCTCCACCAGCGGCAGTGTTGGGGACTAGCAGAGCCTGAAGAGACCAGCTCTGACAGGCTGCAGAGCAGGGGCTGTCTTTATCAAGCCACACAGCAGGTGCCAGATTTGCTGAAACTGTTCAAAGTGCTGACATTGAGGCTGGTGATTCTTCAGGCTGCAGCCATAGTTCCTGGGTCTGTTTGGGTAGAGGCAGCTGACTGAGGGTCCAAGCCTCAACGGTTGAACTCATCCCCTCCCCTTGAAAGAGCCCCAGTCACCTGTGTGGCCTTGGGTCCTTGGCTACTCCTCTCCTCACCCCTGCCATGTCCCCTCAGGCTATAATAGGATCATAATAAGCACAGCTGAGGGGACACTGGCCAACTTTTGAAAGGGGTTTGCACAAAAGTTTAGGTACTTCCTAGCCTCAAACAATAGCCACAGTGAGACCCACAAAGAAAATGAGGTTACTGGATATCCAGATCCTGAGCAAAGAAACAGGAAACACCTCTCCCTGCTGGTTTTACCTACATCAGCAACTTCCTAGATGCCAAGGTATCAGTATCAAAAAAGTAACAGATCTGCATGAAGCTGGCTCCCCTTGGAATGGCTGACCTAGCTGTGTTTGATGGATGCTTGCACCCTGAAGGGTAAGAGGAAAGTAGAGTCAGGATCCAGGCATGGTGGAGAGATTAGAGATAGGTTAGTGTAAGGTAGGAAAAGTAAGATCTCCAAGCCCAAGCTCCTTCCCAAGCTGAGACTGGAGCATCAGCTTGGAGATGAGAGGTCCCTCCCTGGACAGGTCCAGAGATGCTCAGAGGAGCTGTCCACATCAAGCTGAAGACAAGGGGACATCAGGCTGACTGATTCTATCCTTGGGTCATTTAGTACATGTGGCATTTAAGCCCCAGACAGTGTCCCCCCACACCCCCCACTCTGCACACAGGTTTGAAGTCAAAGACATTGGTCCAGTAGGTGTTTCTGTATCTTCAGACCTGACCATCAAGTTTCTGGCTGACATTGAGGAAGGGCATGAAGAATCCTTGCAGCAGTCTGAATGGTTTTAAGCAAATCCAAAAACACTTCTTCATGTCCTCTTCATGTCTCTGGTGCATGGTTTTCCTCCAAAATGGTCTGCCCTGTAGCCTGGCATGGCTGGCCCTCTCCCTCTGGTCCCTCTGTCTCCTCCTGCCTGGTGCCATGCCCCCTCTCACCATCAGGCACATTCAGACCTGTGTCAACAGGCTGTACTTTAACCCTTGCTTTCCCTCAAGTTTGGAGGGCTGCTTGGGAGTCAAAGTTTGACCCCAGATATTCACTGGATTAGGGCAGCTCTCCAGAGAGCATCTTGGAGTAGAATGGTTGGGGATTTCCTACCCACCAGTGGGTACTGACCTCCAACACCCTGTTATACTTTACAGGAAGTCCTGTACTAAAGGCAAATTGGAAACTAAAATGCTATCCTTTGCTCATTGATCTCAGTGAATTAGGATCTTAAGGACAATCTGGCTTCCTGGGGCCCAGTTTGGGGATAGAGACAAGAGGGGAAAACCAGAGTTCCTCCCCTCCTCTCAACACCAGCCAAATGGCGACCTCCCTCCACCCCAGCTTCCAGGAGAGACCTGAACTTGGACAGAGAAGCAGCTGCACCAGGAGGGAAGGGCATGCAGCAACACTGTTAGGGCTCTGGAGTTATCAAACCTCCTAGAATGACCTCTTTGTCTTTGGAGTTGTTCTGAGCAGGAGCCGAACCCAGACCAGGGATGTGTGCTCCTCGCATCTTTCCTGCTCCCTTTCTGCCCCTTCCCCAGACGCCTGGTGTTATTGCCACTGTTCTCCCAGGACCCATTCCCTGGGGCAGGGATAGGGGTCTCCTGCTGACACTGTGCCATCCAAATCCACCTTGGATGGGCTAATTGCACTTCTGGCTAATAGCAGCAGCACAAGGATTAAAGTCTATATTCGTATGTTCTCTTGCACCATTGCATGGGGAGGCAGGAGAGTGAGAGGGATGGAGAGTGGGGCAGGATGGTATCTACCGTGGGGAAAAGAAACACCAGGAAGAGCCTCCTCCTCCTCAGCATCCTGAGGAAAGAACACCCCATGTCCCTTAGTGAAAGCATTTCCCAATCTCCCTGTCCTTTATCAGGAAGTCTTTCCAGTGTCCAGCCTCATCTTGTCCTGGGATCACATTTAGAGCTGGCCGGGACCTCAGAGGTCATCTAGGCCAAAGTGTGGCTCGGAGGTGCCGAGGGACTTCCCAGGGTCATACAGAGATCTGAGATTCAAATCCCAGCTCTCTGACTCGGGATGTAGCACCTTCTACACCGTACCGATAGCTTGCCCTCATATAAGACTTGGCCCATCCTTGTCACCCAGAGACTTAAGGGCTGAGTGTTCTGACCTTTCTGTTATTTACAATCAGAGATTTGAGGGCTCCCCTCCCCCAAGCTGTCTTATAAGTCAGGACTGCCACCCGACCTGGGTCCTAGGGTAGCCCTGCCACCTGCTGGCCATTCGTAGCATTTCCATCCCATCCCCATGGAAAAGGCTTCTGAATGTCCAGCAGTCAGTCATCGGTGCCCCCTAGTGTAGATGTGGAAAAATTTCGGGGTGGAAACGACAGCTACTATTTATGAGCAATAGCTCAAATTTCTATGCTGCTTTTAAGTTTATAAAGCAGTTTCTGTGCAATAACTCTATAAGGTAGGTGAGAACTGAGGCTCAGAGAGGTTATTTAAATTTCTCAAGGTCACACAGACAATGGGGGAATCAGAAAATGGCACCCATCACATGGTATTGGAGGCAGGTCTCTAACCCAGGTTTCTCCTCGGTGTCACTTAAAGCTGAGGTATGACACAGATCTAAGGTCTCTTCAAAAGGCAGTGGGAGAGTACTCAAGGTACAACTTAGATCGTGCATAAGGTGGCTATTTATTTCCTCCACACAAAAGAAATGATTAAAATCCAAAGGCTAATCTAGCATGCTGCCCCACAGGGATTTTCCATTCAATTCGACAAGTATTTTATTTATTTATATATATTATAATATGTATTATATGCATTAATATAAATACATATATTTATGTGCACAGGACTGTTCTTGGGATACCGAGATGAAAAAACAGCAAGAAGCTTACAATCTGAGGGTGGAAAGATTAGCATGGATGCAAGCAACGGTAATATATGTAACAACAGAGCCGTGCTGCGCCCAGGAGGGCAGGAGTACTCACCTACTCCCACTAAGGGACCCCCAATTCCAGGTTCATGCAAGTATCTCAAGGCTCAGTCCTGGGGGAGCCTGATCTCTAAAAAAAGAGGTGGGGCTCTTTTCTTATACTTTCACTCTTACCTTTGGGTCCCAGGGAAAAATCACTTAAAGCTGAGGTATGAGGTATGACAGGTCTAAAGTCCCTTTAAAAGGGAATAGAAGGGTACTCAAGGTACAACTTAGATCAGGTATAGGGTAGCTATTTATTTCCTTCACACAAAAGAAATGCTTAAAATACAAAGGCTAATAGGTAACTTATGGGCGGCTAGGTGGCACAGTGGAGAAAGTGCCAGGCCTGGAGTCAGAAAGACTCTTCTTCCCGAGTTCAAATCTGTCCTCAGACACTTACTAGCTATATAATCCTGGCTAAATCGCTTAACTCTGTTTGCCTCAGTTTCCTCATCTGTAAAATGAGCTGGAGAAAGAAATGCCAAACCACTCTAGCATCTCTGCCAAGAAAACTCCAAATGTGGTGGTGGAGTCAGATGTGATTGGAATGACTCACCATCAACAACAACAAGGAGCAACCGAAAACGAACAGTAGTTTGGTATACACACTATATGCACCTCCGTTTGGGGAGACTGAGGCTGGTAAATCACCTGAGTCCAGAAGTTCTGGTGCAATAGGACCAAAGCCAAACCACCCAAGTCAGGAAAATGTAGCAGGTTAAAGCTTCTGTGCTGATCAATATTGGGAGGGGGCCTCTTGGGTGACTACTGTACTTCCAGTCTGGTTGAGAGTGAGGAAGGCCCAGTCTCAAAAACAAACAAACACACCAAAAAACTTGAAGAGGAAAACTATAACTCCTATTATATTCCAACCAAACATTGACACTTAAAACATTAAAACATGAAACACTTAATGGGACTATTGATTAGACATTTTTATTGCTCTCCTTGGCTCTGAATTCTCTGAACGGTCCTCCCAAAGTCCATGTCTTTTGGCTGGTCAGGACAAGCTTTGGGCTCTTCATCATTTCTTGGTTTTCTTTTCCAAGAAGAGTGTAGTATTGAAGCTGCTTCCTGCTGCCAATCAGCTCCCCTTGAGGGTCCCAGGAACCCCCAGCCTCACTCACAAGGCTGGAAAAGTCCCACTTGTTCCGTTACTTGTGCTCCTGGAAAGAAATGCACAGCGGAAAAGGCAGGCAAGGACTCAAGGGCCAGACTCAGGCTTTCATGAGCACGGTGTGTTGGGAACAACTGATCAAGGCCTGGAGAGAGAATGTCCTCTCAGAACCTAATGGGAAATCCAAGAGTGTATAAGCCCCGTATCACAGATGCTCATGCATGCGCATATGGTGGCGCCATAGAGCACAGAGTGCTGGGCCAGGAGTCAAGAAGACCTCGGTTCAAATCCAATCTCAGACACGTACTAACTATGTGACCCTGGGTGAGTCACTTAACCTCTGTTTCCCTCAGTTTCCTCATCTGCAAAATGAGGAAAATAATACCTACCTCCCAGGGTTGTGTGAGGATCAAATGAGATCATAATTGTACTTAGCCCAGTGCCAGGCACATAAGTGCTTTGTAAATGTTAGTTATTGTTATTATTGTTATTATTAAGCATCTAGCACCAGTGCCTGCAACATAGTAAGTACTATGTGAATGTTAGCTTTCCTATTGTTATTTATTTATTTATTTATTTATTTTTGTGATTGGAGTTAAGTGACTTGCCCAGGGTCACACAGCTACCGAGCGTCAAGTGTTTGGTCTGAGGCCAGATTTGAACTCAGGTCCTCCTTACTTCAGGGCCGGTGCTCTATCCACTGTACCACCTAGCTGCCCCTATTGTTATTGTTATTAAGCGCTTAGCACATTGCCTGGCATATAGTAAGTGCTATATAAATGTTAGCAACTGTTATTATCATTAAGCACTTTAGCACAGTGCCTGGCACAAAGTAAATCCTATATAAATGCCAGTTTGTTGTTGTTGTTATAAAGCACTTAGCACAGTTGGCATGTGGTAAGCCATATATACATATTAGCTATTTTTTTTTTTGGTGAGGCACTCAGGGTTAAGTGACTAGCCCAGAGTCACACAGCTAGTGAGTTTTATGTGTCTGAGGCTGGATTTGAACTCAGGCCTAGCTATTATTATTGTTATTATTATTATAGAGCACTTAGCACAGCACCTGGCACATAGTAAGCCCTATATAAATGTTACTTAGTTGTTATTATTGATTATTATTATAAAGCACTTAGCACAGTGTCTGTCACATAGTAAGTACTATTTAAATGTTAGCTATTATTATTATTATTATTATTATTATCTGTAAAATGTAGAAATAGAACCTATGTCTCAGGGTTGTTGTGAGGATCAAAGGCAATAATATTTGTAAAGCACTTTGCTAAAGTGCTGTATAAATGCTAGTTATTTTAATTACTAGAGAGAGTAGAAATCATCTTATCCTTTAAAGTTCACTGATTCTTCCACCTCTTCTGACACATCCCACTTCTCCTGCTTCCTTAATAGGACCAAAGGTCCACTGGGTTATTATTCCACAGCACCAAGTCCTCCAGGGATGAGTGCCCATGGCTGTGATCCCTGAAGTGGCCAGAGCAGTCAACCCATATGCCAAGGTATGGATGGCCTCTAGTATATATATATAATATGTTAGAATGTGATCAGCATATAAGAGAGGTCAAACAGAGGGGCATGGGAGATCAGAGAGGCAGAGGACCCTTCTAGCTGGGTATCAGGTGGGCCCCAGCTGGGCCTTGAAAGTCAGAGAGGATCTCAACAGATGGAGATGTAAAGGAATTCCATTCCAGGTATGGACAAGAATATGCAGAAATGCATTCGAGCTGGAGAGGGAGAAGGAGACTGGGGAAAAGTTTGTCTAGGATCCAGCATTTAGAAAGTCAGTCAGTCAGTTCATAAACACTTATTAAGCATCTACTATTTGCTAGGCACTGTGCTAAACACTGGGAAGAAAGAGAGAAAGAGAGAAAGAGAGAGAGAAAGAGAGAAAGAGAGAAAGAGAAAGAGAAAGAAAGAAAGAAAGAAAGAAAGAAAGAAAGAAAGAAAGAAAGAAAGAAAGAAAGAAAGAAAGAAAGAAAGAAAGAAAGAAAGAAAGAAAGAAAGAGAAAGAAAGTCCCTGCCTCAAACTTACAATCTAATGGGGGAAGACAATATACAAAAGGAAGCTGAAAACCAGAGGGAGGCATGATGGCCAAGTCTGGCCCCATAGGAAATGAAGAGATGGCTGGCCTGCCCTTTCTCCTTAAATGGAGGTTCTGGGAAGAGCTCTCCATCTCCACCCTCTCCAATCAGGGGGTGTTTGAGGGACATGGGGTACTGCTGAGATGTGAGTTCCAGGATTGAAGTATCTTGCAAGATGGTGAAGTTCCTGAAGCATAGTATAGGGTTAGGTGAGAAATATAACTAGGTAAGAAAGGAAGAAAGTAGTGTAAAAGATGGTTGGGACCAGAACGTGGAGAGCCTTAAATCTCTGTATCCTTGAATATTCGTGGAAGGAATCTGGCTTTTAATCTAAAACCAGGAAAAGACTTTAGTGACCCTTTAATCTAATCCCTCATTTTACAGCTGAGGCTCAGATAAATCAAGTGAAGGTCACTTCGCTAATAAATGGCAGAGGCTTCCTGATCCCAATCCTGTTTTAGTGCCGCAGTGGCAGAAGAAGAATGGAGAAAAAGGAAAGAGAATAGAGAAACTCCAGAAATGACTGAAGAGTTGGAACAATGGGAGTGATTTCAAGGATAGTCCCCAGGTCAGAGCAGGGAAGCAGGTGAAGGTTGTTTTCAACTCCAAAGCCTGCTTCCCCCAACTCCATTCCCCACGCCTCAAGGACAGATGTTTATTCACTATATCACACTGGGGATAGTTATTAGAGGAAAAGGACTATCTCACTGTTGGATTTCAGAGGCCAGTAGGATATATATGGAGATGCACTGTGATCAAGTGGAAATGTGAGTTTGAGGTTTGAGAGAAAGGCCAAAACTGGAGATAGAGATTCAAAGGAGTAAGTGAGATTATCCAGCTAGACAGTAGAGACGGTGAAAAGGACTAAGAACCGAACTTTGGGATGTCCACATACAGGGAGCATGAAGAGGATGAAGAACCCACAGAGGCAGAGAAAGAAAGATAACAGAGTTAGGAAAGAGTAAATTACTTGAACTGGAGAAATGACTAAGGTTTCAGAGACTCCTGGGAAGAACTGTATGAACAGATACAAAGGGAAGTGAGCATAACCAGAGGAATAATTGATACAGTAACAACAACATTGGGTTTTGTTTTGTTTTGTTTAGAAATGAAATATCCAGGGGCAGCTAGGTGGCGCAGGGGATAAAGCACCAGCCCTGAAGTCAGGACGCCTTAGACCAAACACTTGACACTTACTAGCTGTGTGACCTTGGGCAAGTCACTTAATCCCAATTGCCTAAAAAAAATTTTTTTTAATTAAAAAAAAAAAGAAATGAAATGAAATATCCAAACATACCTCAGGATCACTCTAGAGCTCAGGATGATAAAATTAAGAATGAAAATAAGCCAAGTAGTAAGGTTAGGGTGATATACAAGTGAGTATAGGGACCTCATCAGTCTTACTACAATAGTTACTTATGTAGCAGGTTTTGAAAAACACACCCGTGTGAACTGATCCAACCATTCTGGAGAGCAATTTGGAACTATGCCCAAAGGGCTACAAAACTGTGCATACTCTCTGACCCAGCAATACCATTGTTAGGTCTGTATCTCAAACAGATCATACAAATGGGAAAAGGACCCACATGCACAAAAATATTCACAGCAGCTCTTTTTGTGGTGGCAAAGAATTGGAAATTGAGAGGATGCCCATCAATTGGGGAATGGTTGAACAAGTTGTGATATATGAATGTAATGGAATACTATTGTGCTATAAGAAATAATGAACAGGCTGACTTCAGAAAAACCTGGAAAGACTTGAATGAACTGATACTGAGTGAAGTAAGCAGAACCAGGAGAACGTTGTACACAGTAACAGCCACATTGTACAATGACTAACTTTGATAGGCTGGCTGTTCACAGCAACACAAGGATCCAAGACAACTCCAAAGGACTCATGATGGAAAATGCTGTCCACATCCAGAAAAAGAACTATAGAATCTGAATGCACATCAAAGCATATTATTTATTCTCTCTCTCTTTTTTCCCTTTTTTTTGTTTCTTCTTTCTTGTGGTTTCTTCCATTGGTTGTAATTCTTCTTTACAACATGACTAATGTGAAAATAGGTTCAATGTGAATGTATATGTAGAGCCTATATCAAATTGCATACCATCTTGGGGTGTGGGGAGGGGGGAGATGGATAAATTTGGAACTCAAAATCTTATGGAAGTGAAAGTTGAAAACTAAAAATAAATAATAAAATTTAAGAAAAGAAAAGAAAAACACACCCACAAAATATCAGATTGCAAAAAGAAAGGATGGATGACACCTATGTTGCAAGGTTGTATGGGTTATTGGATATGATCACAATCACATTTAAGTCACTGAAACTCAGCCTGCCACTTGATTCTTTCCTTTATATTTAATTTTATCCTCCTGAGCCTAAAAGTATGGTTGGGTAATTTATTTATCATTTTCCCCCCCCTGTAACAACATTGTAAGGAAAAACCAACTCTGAAAGACTGAAGAGCTCTGACCCAATATCAGCTTAAGAGGACTGATGATGACTCATGCTTCCTACCTCCTGACAGAAAGGTGATGAACTTAGGGTGCAGAATGAGACATGCTTTTTCAGACATGACCAGTGTGTGGATTTGTTTTGTTTCACTAGTCAATCAATAAGCATTTATTAAGCACTTACTATATATACACTAGGCACTGTGCTAAGCAAAGTGGATACAAAGGCAAAAGACACTCCCGGTTCTCAAGGATATCACAGTCTAATTAGTCACAATAATTGTTTTTTTCTTTTTGTAGGGGAGGGGACAGGCAGAGGGGAGAAGGGAGCTAGTGATAAGGTTGCCAAAAAAGAAAAAAGAATGAAAAGATCAGTGGATCACATTTTTTAAATATACACAAGAGAACTGAAAACAATTAAGAAGGAAAGAGAGAACCAAGATGGTCTTGAAATAACATTATTATAAATGATTTTTGTTTTAAAAAGCAAGCTGTAATTAATAGAGATTCATATTTTCACATACAATCCTCTTTTTCTCTTCTACTTTGCTTATGGAAATGTTCTCTCTCTCTCTTTCTGTTAAATTCAGAATTTTAAAAAAATTTAAAGAAAGAGGTAGGAGATGTATAACCTATATTGAACTGCTTGCCTTCTCATTGGGGCGAGGGGGAGAAGAAGGGAGAGAATTTGGAACTCAAAGTTTTAACACTGAATGCTAAAAATTGTTTTTACATGTAACTTAGGGAAAATAAAAATAAAATACTAAAAAAAAAAACAAAAAAGAAAGAAAGGAATCAGAGGAAGACCCAAAGAGTGCAGCACCTCAGCCTCTCTGAAGCCAAAGGAAGAAACACCTTCCTTTACACCCCTTCAGCATGGTGTAGGTACCAGCCAAATTGACTATTAGCTGTCCTTTGAAATAGTACCTATCAGTTTCCTTACCTATAAAATGAGAGTGTTAGGCTAAACCATCTCTAAGATTCCTTCAAGTTCTAAACCTAAGATTTTTATCATAGAATATCAGAGTTGAAATTGACCTCAGAGATACTCTAAATCCGACCTGTGTCAGAACAGAAATCTCCTCTGACATCCCTGACACACGGTCAGTCTTCCAGCCTTTGCTCATAGACCTCTGCTGAAGGGGATTATGTCGCTTCCCAAGGCAGCCTGATATACTTGGGGACAGCTCCACTTGGCCACAAGGTTTTCCTTATAGACAGATGACATTGACCTCTTGGCATCTTCCTGGTTCTGTGCTCTAGGGTCAAGCAGAACAAATAGACTAGCTCTTCCAGGTGACAGACCATCAGATACTTACAACCCAGCTGTCATTCCCCTCATCCCCCACACCCCCAATTCATTTCCTCTTCTAGATAAACATTCCTCATTGCTTCAGCCTATCCTTTGATGCTATTCATCTCAAGGCCTTTTCACCATCCTGTTCACCTTTCTCTGAACACTATCCAGCTTATCAATGTACTTCTTAAAATGTGAAATCAAGAGCTGAATACAATTGTCCTCAAAGCATGGTATAAGGCAGCTGAATGAAGTGCTGGGCTTTAGATCAGGAAGACCTCAGTTCAAATCTGCTCTCAGACACTTCCAAACTGTGTGACCCTGGAAAAGTCACTTAACCTCCGTTTGCCTCAGTTTCTTCATCCGTAAAATGAGGATTAACAGCACCTCCCTTCCTGGATTTTTGTGAGGATCAAATGAGATGATAATTGTGAAGCTCAATGTCTGACACGTAAGTAGGCACTACATACATGTTAGCTCTTATTAAGTAAGACTGTCACTTTCCAAATCCTGAACACAATGCCTTTCTTTAATGTGTCCCATTAACATTTTTCAAACACTATATCACACTGTTGACTCACTCTGAGTTTGAAATCTTCAGGTATTCCTCCCCCCCCAAGGAACTGCCATAGCGAGCATACCCCAGCTTGTCCTTGTGGGGTTGTCTTGTCTTGTTAAGAAGATGACACCAAGGTGGGAGGGAGACCTACTGGGGTAAATGACAGAGTGAAAACCCAGTGGATGAAATTTAATAGGGATAAATAATAATGAGGGACAGGATAGCATGGTGAAGTACAGACCTCAAAGTCGAGAAGACCTGAGTTCAAGAACCACTCCTACCACATACTGGCTGTGTGACTCTGGGCAAATCTCTTAACTGCTCAGAGCTTTAGGCAACTCTGGGAGAATAGAAATTGCAGAGAAAATGCCATTCTGTGTTGGCAGAGAGGGTTTCCTCACTTGGGAATTTACCATTGAAATCATGGGTCTAGCTCCTCCCCCAACCTTTTAAAGTTCACAAAGCATTTTACACACATTACCTCATTTGAGATTCTGCTGGGTTTCCAAAGATCAGACTTCCCAAGTGCATTCACAAAGGCTGCAATCCACTCCCATCCACCTTTCCCTTTCGGAATTCTCCTGGTCTTTCAAGCTTCAGCTTCAGCACCACCTCCTCCATGAAGCCTTCTCTGATTTCCTCAGTCAACAATGCTCTTTCTCCCTCCTCAAATTCTCCTAGCAACCTCTGTCTTCTTTCTCCTTTGCCCCCTTCACAGCCTCCTTATCTGTATATATGTAGTATCTCCCAGGAAATGTGAGCTTCTTGAAAGGAGTGATTGTGTTTTTCACCTTTGTATGCCTAGTACCTTGCACCTAGTAGATGCTTAACTAATTGAACTAAATTGAATTGAAGAAAAGGACAATTAAGTGTTAAATGTTCCAAGGAGAAGGGTGAGAATCTTAATTGGATTTGGCAAAGAGAGGTCATTGGTCACCCTTGACAGAATAGTATTAGGGGAATAGTGGGTGTGGAAGCCAGATTGCAAGGTCTAAGAATTCTCCTGAGGAGGGTTGGAGGTGTGGGAGAGAGGGGGCAGGTAATTGGTCTCAACTTTTTCAGGAAGTTTGACAATGAATGGGAAGACAGTAACTGAATGGGATATAAGAGACAAAGAAAAAGCTTGTGGAATGAATGAATAGATGAATGAATGAATGAATGAAAAAACTTTCAATTCTTACTAGGTGCCAGACATTGCTTAATGCTGAATATACAGATACAAGGAGAAAGGTAATCCCTGCCCTCAAGAAGCTTACATCCTAATAGGGGAAAATGACACATATTGGGGAGAGGGCCACAGAGCCATCAGTCCCATTTATGGTGTATGGAGTTGGAGGGTAATTGACAGAGTTGTCCTTTCCAGGAATCATGGTGTTGATTTGATTACTGTTCCCAAAAAAGGAAGTGGTAGTGAGTGAAAAAGTGGAAAATGTGAAAATGAGGGATTCCTTTGGCCTCAAGGCAAGAAGCTGACCAGCAAGCTTGAGGCCTGCTAAGGATGATGAAGTTTCACCAGTCAAAAGCCAGAGCTAGGAAGGACTTCAAAGGCCACCCTAGGTCAGCTCCACCCCGATGTTTCAGGTTCCTTGGCTCAGAAGCCATTTTAATACCATCCTAAGCAGAGGATTGTACAAATATGCTGCAAAATAAGACTTTGCATGGCAAAGGTCACTGGGGTATCTGCTATCTGAGATGATGCACAACGGTTGGCCTTCTTTTTAGGTTTCTCTGTTTCTATAGCCCCTTTTCTTCCAATGGAGTCCAGAGCATTTCCTTGCTTTCACATTCC